GGGGATATAGGACTCGTTCATAGGATAGTGATGAGGAATTGTGAGACATCAAGGCGGGCGGGACAGGCCTTCGTGTGGCAATAATGAAGGGCAAGACTGTATCCTGGCCCTGGCCGGTTTGGTTCAATGGATAGAGCGTCGGCCTGTGGACTGAAGGGTCCCAGGTTCGATTCCGGTCAAGGGCACATGCCCGGGATGTGGGCTCGGTCCCCAGTGGGGGGCATGCAGGAGGCAGGCGATCAGTGATTCTCTCTCATCATTGATGTTTCTATCTCTCTCCCTCTTCCTCTCTGAAATAAATAAAAATAAATTTTTAAAAAAGAATGCAGGCTCTGATTCGAGTGCACATCAAGAATAGGACAAATCGCAATCACATACCACTTGATAGGATGCCTTAAGAAAACTGCAGCATCGCTCCTGTGATATTCCTGACAAAAATACATAATCTGAACCAAATCACGAGTATACATCAGACAAACCCAAATAAAGGGCATTCTACCAAAAAACTTGCTTGTAATCTTCAAAAGTGCCAAGGTCGCGTAAGTTAGAGACCCTGGAACTGTTCCATACTGAGAGACATGGCAATTACTAGTAAATGAAATACATGATTCTGAACTGGATCTTCTTACTGTAAAGAAATTTATTGGGTGCTGTTCTCAGATTTTTCCACAAGAGGGGGCACTATTGTAACCCATCCCTGCTGGACAAGAGCCCTTTAGGTCTCCCAATAGGGTTTTCTTTTCAGACTCGCAGAATTCATTACTAGGGTGCTGTTCTCAGAATGTCCACAAGAGGGCACTATTGAGACTCTTCCCTGCAGGGCCAGAGCCCTCTAGGTCTCACAAGTTGACGCCCTAAAACCCCCAAATACTTTCGTATTTCCAACCAAGACATTCTCCAATGTAACTGCAAAATAACCATCAAAATCAGGAAATTAACACATTGCGTACCGCACAGAAATCTCTAAGACATACGCCAGGGACCGCACGTTTTTTGGGCAAACTGCTTGTTATTTAAATCATCATAATGCACTTTAGGTGTTGTTTTTCAATAATTATAACATTTTTATTTACAAAAACAATTAAAGTTCCTAGTACTTTTTCAACGTATGGCACTGCGTAAAACATTTTCCTCTATGAAGAGGGACCAAACAAAATTTACATAAGTATCTAGATTCGCTCCTTTTTCCATGGGCGTGAAAACAGAACACTTGTGAGCGGTCCTTAACAGATGGCGCGCGAAACACGAGAAAACTCCTGAGTGGTACGAAATGTGTTAACATTGGCACATCACTGCCATGGACACCTGAGACTCTATTTGAATTTTGCCAATTGTCCCAATACATTTTCTTTTTTCTTTTTTTGAGAACAGCACACTAGTAAGGGAAGGGTTGCAATAGTGCCCTCTTGTGGACATTCTGAGAACAGCACCCTAGTAATGAATTCTACGAGTCTGAAAACCCTTTTGAGAGACCTAGAGGGCTCTGGCCCTGCAGGGAAGTCAAAATAGTGCCCTCTTGTGGACATTCTGAGAACAGCACCCAATAAATTTTTTTACAGCAGAAGACGCAGTTCATAATCATGTGTTGCATTTAATCGCCATGTCTCTTTAGTCTCCTTCAGTGTGGAACAGTTCCAGGGTCTCTGACTTACACGATCTAATTTTATATGATTGAGAGAAAAAAACTTCTATGCATTTAGAATTTTTTAAATGGAGTTTGTAGAGTAAACCTTCAAGGATCCCAATCTCCATTTTTCTGCTTCCTAGGTTTGGGACCGGGGGCAGGTTGCTTCACTTCTCAGTACCTCAGTTTTCTCACCTGTAAAATGGGGATAATGACAGCACTGCTCTAAAAGGGTGGTTTCCAGGACACAAAATGGGGGGGGGGGGGGGGCTAATTGATGCATATAATGCTCTTAGAGTAATAAGTACTTTGTACATGGTTGTGGTTCTTTTAATTTAAAAGACCCAATTTCATACCTTCACATGGAAGGCCTCTCAGCAAGGTGAGTAGTTTTTCAGGATTTCTGGGTTCAAAAAGTTTCGATTCAAGATCCCATACCCATCCTGGCCTCTAATCACTGCCCAGAGAAACCCTTGCTTTGAGACTCAAGGACACCGAGGCCCGTGTTCAGATTCCCAATGAGGTACTCAGACATGAGCCTTCCCAGGAGGGGTTGCCAAGCAACAAGGCGCCTCTGCAGGAGCCGGGCAGGGCCCTCCGATGCTCATGGGTCGGTCCCTCCCTTTTCACAGAGGAGGTGATGGAGGAGCCATCCCACCGGAAGCAGCCAGGGCTACACAGCGAGTCTAAGCACAGAGCCGGTTCCAGGACCCAGGAGGTCAGACTTCCAGGCCAGTGCTCGCTCTGCAAGTCCCTGCATGGGGCCCCACACCATTTCTGTCCACTTGTTGGAGCCAGTACTTCTGGAGTGATCCCTGTCTGCTCGGGGTCACAGAGACAAGCCCCTGCATACGTCATCTCTTCAATCCCCCACCTTCCCAGGGGGTGCCTGTGGCCACCCCGCCCCCATACCTGCTCCCCCTTTAGCAGCCTGTGCCACGCTGCACGGGGCCCATTCTGCCTTTGAAAGATTTGGGGGGGAAATCCTTGCTCAGTTACGACTTGAAATAGGTTGATACCATAGAAACAACTCGCAAGTGGCATTTCAAAGCTGATTTATTTAAAGTCTAGCACAAGCGCCTTTTCTAGGACAGTGACATTATTCAGTTGCACACGGCTTAGTGTTTTGAATCTTGTCACAAAAATATATCTCGCGCCGGAACTGAAAATCCAGATCAGCTGGGTGAGCGAATTTGCTTTCTTTAAATGTTTCATGCAGATGGTTTCCACCCTTTCAAGAACTTGTGAACACCATCCTTAGATAGCAAACTGGGACGTGACGTTCCACAGGCCTGAGGCAGGATCTGAAAGCAAGCACCCTCCAAAGCACACGGTGAGATGAGGACCCCCAGCCTTCATCATTCATTCATTCATTCACTCACTCACACATTCATTCATTGAGCCACTCATTAACAAATAGTTATGAGCTCCTATGTATCATCTATTGTAGTGTTAACAGTTCTCTTCAAGCTGAGCAGCTGGAAACGACAGGACACATGATCTGTTTCTTTGGGGAGGAATTCAAGTGTGGCCCAGCCGGCTTGCTGTGACGTGGGGTCCCCCTTGGGCTGCACTCCTGAGGTGACCCGCTCGCATGGCTGGCCGCTGGTGCCGGCTGTGGGCAGGAGGCCCGAGTTCCTGCCCCGGGAACCTCTGTCAGGTGCTGAGTGTCCTCATGACAGTGACCGGCTTCCCCGAGAGTTGGGTCGAGATAACAAGGCCAAAGCCACACGGGGTTTATGATCTCGCCTTGGGGGTCACACACCCACCGGCAGTTCCCTGATATCCAACCGGCTGCACGGCCGGCCCCAGGGTTGTCAGTCAGACTGAGCAAACAGAAATACAGGGTGCCCAGTTCCACGTGAACTTCAGACAAACGACAAACAAGATACGTATTGTTTTATCTGAAGCCCATGTTTAGCCATCCGTCTTGTATGAACCTGGAACCCTACCTTAGTCAGTGTGGAAAGGGACATCGGACGAAAGGGCGTGACCACCCAGAGGCGGGGACCTCTGGGGGCCCCCTGGGGAGCTGGCTCCCACCCCCTCCATCCGCCAGGTGCCATGGGGGGTAACTGGTGAGCAATTAACAACGATGGTTCCCACACTCATTCAGTTTACGGTCTAGTAAGACCAACACGAGTCCAATCACCAGGCAAACAAATGCAGAACCTTGACTGTGGTAAAGTGCTTCCGAAGGAGCCGCCGGAGCGTGGGGCAGGTGTGGGGTCCTCCTCAGAACGCAGCTTTGTGTTCTGTAGATGGAGCCTGCACACGCGACTGTGTGTGTGTGTGTGTGTGTGTGTGTGTATGGAAGGCTCTGCCACTAAAAGAAAACAAAACCCTGGAAATACACACAAATAAATAAACGGTGAAAACAGTCAGTCTGTGGAGCGGAAAAGCCTGGGACGCTCCCACCAGCCCAGCCCGACACGTGACAGCGAAGGCACCCACATCAGCAAAGGCACGTGGGGCGGGGCCAGGCGACCGTCCCAGCCGCCATCTGGCCGTGGAACCGCCCGCTCACCCAGCTGCTCCCGGGCCGAGATTTCACAATCCCGGTGCCAGGTCACTCAGGCGGGGCGGGTGGGACTTGCAGCAACAGTGGGTGGGAGCGCGGAGGCGGATGTGGTGATGCCGACCAGGAGCTTCCTGTGCGCACAGTGCGGCCCCTGCCCCTCCGTCGGGGCCCCGCGGCTCTCGCCCATCGGCCCCTCCCGATCACCCGGGGCTTTAACTTCCCCATTTCACATGTGCACTCGGCGGGGACACTGGCCCGAGTCACTCCCTCCCACCACCTCACTCACCATCTTTCGATGCAGAACTGTCCGGAGCCCGGCATCTGGGGCTGAGCAGGGAAGGGGTCCCCCCACAGGCAGAGCAAGCTCGCACCCGTGCAGGCCGGAGGCAGGACGGCCGAGAAGCCCCCGAAATATTCCTTCTAATGGGGCGTTTCTGTACATGGGGCTCGGGCCGCTCCAGGCAGATGCTGTGCTCACAGGTGGCCATGCCGGGGGGCCCCGGCTCATCCGGAGACGGAGACGAGGTAGCTGCTCCTCAGGCAGCACCGCAGGCCTCTGGGCGCCCAGCGGGGCTGGACAGGGGCGGCCACACCCCAGGGAAGGGCCACCGGGAGCTCAGGCCGGTCCCTCCGGCTCCGCCGGTGCCTGTGCCGATGCTGACCTGCACCTTTGGCCGCAGTAAACCATCGACGGGAGACTAATGGGTTTTCTGAGTTCTGGGTCCTCCCAGCAAATCACCAGACCGAGGGGCCCTTGCGGACCCAACACAGGGTGGGCTGAGCCCGGTGGGACCCTGGGCCGCCCGGCAGGACGCAAGACCCACACCTGCCCCTCCGTGAAGTAAGGCACCGACAAACGAGTCCCTGGTCACTTTATTCAAATAATAGATCTATTTTCTGTGTCCATTTAAGGGCTGGGGAGGAATCAAAGAAAGCCTCATATATTAAATTTTTAAATAGATTCTTTGAATTCAAAAATAGGGCCTAGGAGAGGCACGGGGTGGCCTGGTCCCAGCCAGCAGCGCCGCCCAGGCGCCCTGCACAGGAGCGAGGCGGCAAGGCCACTTCTTAGAAAAAGTTCTCGCGGGAAAATATAAAAACCAAGTTTCCAAAGCTGGACGGTGTCCGCACTCCCGCCCTCCGTCCCGGAGGGTCCGAAGGTAGCGTGTTTCAAGGAAAGTTTCCAAAGATCCGGCTTTGCAAACATATGCAAATCACCCCTCGGCAGCAGTCCCTTTGCCGGTTAATAGCAAGCAATATGCTTGGATTAGAGTCCGATTTCCACTGGAGGCAGCTTCTCCCCTTCCTGGCGACAGCCACTGCGAGACCTGAAAGCAGGGGAGCCGCGTGAGCCCAGGCCGGTTCTGTTAGCAGGTGTGACGGCAGAACGCGCGGCTGCAGCGCCCACAGGAGACGGGAGGCTCCCCGCATCGCAACCTGCACCCCGACCTCAGACGCCCTTTCTCATGTACGAAGAGCAAACAGCAGCGACTGCTGGGAGGCAAGGGAAGGATCAGCACTGAGTCAAGGCCAACCACGAGCCAGGAAGGAGCTAGCGCACCCGGTCTGGTCTGCGGTGTCTCCTTTAGAGAAGCCAGGGAGGCCGCGCAGGAGCAGAGCAGGGAGGTCGGAGAAAGGGAGAAACACGGGGACCTGTGTTCCACGTGAGGTTCTTTTCTCTGGGATTAAGCAGACGCCGGGGCCTGAGCAGGATTTGGGAGGGCGGGCCCTGAGAGTGACGGGCTGGGGTGTCTCCAGCCTGGCACGTGGGTGCAAAGTGGATGTTTTTTTAAATGAAAAAATATGCTGATTATTGAAATATAGGATGAGACTAAAAATAGAGTCTGGGCGAGAAGCTGTTTCCGTTTAAAAAGCACCGGGAGATACCAGGCGAGTTCCTTCTCGCGTTTCCGTGACCTGGTCAGAGAGGCGGGGGCCCCGGGACGCTCACTCCCTCGTGGATTCCCTGCCCCCTGCCCAGGTCCACGGCGAGGGCCCAGCACCCACCCTGGGCAGCTCTCTGGCAGGTGGACAGTGACGAAGCCCATTCTCCAGATGTGGGAAACTGAGGCCCAGAGGAGTCAAACGTGAAGCGAGTCCTTAAATCTTTGACTTAAGTTCAAACCCAAGTTTGGAGCCGTTCCACTGCCCTCAGCAAACACAGATGAGTAAACACTCACCTTCGTTAAAGCAAACTCTGGGGGAGGTGTCTCTGGGGGAGATTCTGCCCTTTGTGACCCTGTCTGCCTTGGGCAAGTCAAATCCTTCTCTGGGCCCTGGTTTTCTCTTCCATAAAATGGGACCGTGTCACCTGCCTCCCAGGGACGCTGAGGGTTAAGTGAGTGACAGGGCTGTGGGGTTATGCTTAGACCAGACCTGCCTGTGGGTACGATTAGAACAGTAGCTGCTTTGCGCCAAACCTGATCTGTTAGCAGAAGCTGGCCTGGCAGGCGGCAGTCCAGGCAACAGTGGCCCAGCATCCCCCATCTCTGGTCCTGGGGCACCTCCCTAAGCCGGACAAACCTTTCTCGGGCTGGCTCAGCACTGAGCCCTGCCCAGCCGGAGCAGGAGACTAAGCCTTGATTCTATAAATAGTTCCCTGGCCAGTCACCATGGAAACCTCCCAGAGGGGTGGGTCAGCCCCCCTTGGGGGACACTCCTCCCCAGGGAGGCTCAGGAGGGACAAGCTTTTCAGAAAAGAGGCTCCTGGGCTCGGAAGCGCGGTCCTACCTGGAAATCACGAGCTTCCCACGTGGGAGGCGGTGCTGTTCGGGTTCACCTGCGGGAAGACACAGGAAGGTCACGCCAGGTCCCGCCCTGAGCATCACGGCCGGCACACACACTCACCCATCCCATCTTCCCTGCACACCTACTATGTGCCGGGTGCTGGGAAACGTGAGCCTGACAGACCAGGCCTGCTCTCATGTAGCTTATGTTCTAGGGGGAGGGGCTGAAGCGCACACACAGGCACGATGCTGGCCACGCCCGGCACCACGTGGGCCACAGGATGACAGCGGGGCTGCTTCACCGGAGGGCGGGGCCGATAGGGTGTGTGCGTGCGTGTGTGTGTGTGTGTGTGCGTGTGTGTGGCTGCGCTGTGGTGAAGAACCAGCATCTGGCCTTTGTCCTGTGCCTGGCACACAGCTCCTAAAACCCGCAGCCTCTCCAAGCATCTTCTGTATGCTAATGAGATGGCTGGTGGCTGGGGGGCCCACAGAGCTTCAGGATGGGGGGCTGGTCGCCGGAAGAACCGAGGCATGAATAGAGGGGTGGGACTCTCAGCACCACACCCCCCGACCTTAGTAATCACTGCCCTGTGATCCTGGCAATCATGCTACTTCATGAACCCTCCCCAGAAAGCCCAGCTTCCGGCTGGGAGGGCGGTGCACCCAGAGAGGCCATAGAGCTCGCCCTCCCCAACCCCTGCCTGGCACCTCTTCCACGTGGCTGTTCCTAAACTGTATCCTTTATAATAATTTGAGGAGTGGGCGCCGTGGGAAACCCCCAAATGTGTGGGTGTCCTGGGCACCCCCTGCGACTGGCGTCTGGCGGGCAGTCCGCTGGGACTGTGCCTCCACCTGAGTCAGTGTCAGGGCTGAACTGAGCGCCAGCTGGTGCCCAGACAGTCAGAGGACTGGCTGCCAGTGTCTGACACCCTCACACTCCACAAGCAACAACCTAAAAGGTGAACCCAAGTCCCGCCCTGCGGAGGTCGGAGGTCGGGAGGGACAGCATTCCCGCGGAGGGAACAGCAGAAACCTGGAGGGAGGGTGTCCCAGCCCAGGGAGTGAGCAGACACTGTCACGTGAGATGCAGGTCTAGTGTGTGATGCTTTGTTTTGCTGGCTTAATATTTCCCCGTTTTTGGTTTCACGATGACCACGTGGGAGGACCACACGTGACTGCAGCTCGCTGACGGCCCCTTTACTTAACTCTGCCCTGCGGTCAGTTGCAGGGTTTGCAATATCCTGGCTGAGTCACAGGCGGGGGAGGCCGTGCAGGGGAGCGGGCGGGGCGGGGGCAACAGCAGGGCAGCTCCCCGCGGGCGAGGCTGGGAGCCGATGACACAGCACCTGCCACCCCTCCACGCGCTGCTCCTCACAGAGCCAAGCCCCGAGCTGGGCTGGGACACGCCCTGCACTGCAGGGGCCGCACACTGGCCGACTCTTGTGAAAAACACGCTCGGAGCCTCGCAGGCTGAGTCTTAAAAAGATCTGGACCTTCCACCCACGGATTCCACTCCTCAAGAATGGGTTCCGGGGAATGACTCAGTGAGCCCCACCCCCACCCTGGCCCACGGAAGAGGCAGGAGCAGGGTGAGGTGTGCCCGGCATCCTTCCGGATGTTTCCAAAGACGCAGAGGATCTTGGGGAGGCGGTGAAGTCACTGGTGGCACGTGAGCCTGCACGCGGCACTGCCCAGGGCTGCGCGGGTCCCACACAGCACACGTGAAACCCACTGACTAGACGGAGAAGCATGAGAAGCAAAACAAAGCAGCTCAGACACACACTCACCACGAAGGCCGCACGCACAGGGGCTGAGACAGGCGACAGCAAAAGTGAAGTTTCCGGTCGTGGGCATCCCCCCACCCCCGCTTCTGTTTGCTGTTCTTGTTACTCCTTGTTTTGGTTAAAACAGGTGAGAAATGAGTGCTGACTAATTCTAGCATCATCTTTGTAAAAAATATATATTTGTATTGATTTCAGAGAGGAAGGGAGAGGGGAAGAGACAGAAACATCCATGATGAGAGAGAATCATTGATTGGCTGCCTCCTGCACCAGTTTAGGGCTGTGTTTCTCTCTATCCCTCTCCCTTCCTCTCTCTCTAAAATCAGCAAAAACATGTTTTTAATAAAAACAAATGAAATTAAGGCTAAAGACAGAGAGTTGCCACCAACTCCCTCCAACTGCTTTCCAGCCCGGAGACCAGGTGCAGGGAGGGGCTCAGGCAGAGGGCGGCCGAGGCCTGGCCCAGCTGGTCACTCAGAGCGCCTCTGGCCCGACTCTCACCCCCCCACTCCCACCTCATACTCACTCTCACCCCCCCACCCCTCCAATATCCTGATGGGGAGACTATCACCCACAGTAGAGGTGAGGAGTCAGGCACACAGAATTCACAATTCCCCGTGGGGTTTCTAACCTGAAAATGTCCTTTCAGATTGGCTGGTGTTTTATAGTCCCCTCTCAAGACCTACAGAAGAGAAAAGAAATATCACTTTCATGGATCTGATAAAAAAATAAAATTCAGTCCATTACCTCCACATCCATCCACCTTCCCACCCATCCACCCATTAACTTATGTATCTCACCACTCACCTATCCATCCTCACACCTGCCCATCCACATGGCCAGCGTGGGGGCGATCTGGGCCATGTCCCTCCCCACGTCCCCAGGGATGTGACAACCCCTGGGACAGTGCTTCCAGGTTCACGCACGGAATGACAACTTCACTCACACTGGGGTCCTCCCAATCACTGAGCACTGAACCCCAGGATCCATTACAGAAACACAGAGTCTACAGTAGCCACAGAAACACACACACGCACATACATGTACACGCACACTTACACATGCACACACACAAGGCTTTCAACAAAGGAACTTAACTCTGCAGTAGCATCAAAACCACCCTAAAGACTAAACAGCTATCTGGTCCAGCCGGTGTGGCTCAGTGGCTGAGCATCGACCTATGAACCAGCAGGTGATGGTTCAATTCCCAGTCAGGGCACACGCCTGGGTTGCAGGCTTGATCCCCAGTGTGGGGCATGCAGGAGGCAGCCAATCAATGATTCTCTCTCATCACTGATGTTTCTATCTCTCAATCTCTCTCCCTTCCTCTCTCTGAAACCAATGAAGGGTAAGAGTAGAGAAAGAAAGTGAAATTAGTGCACAGATGGGCCTGCGGGTTGGGTGCTATAGAGTGTGAGGCAGTTGGCTTTGAGCTTCCTTGTAGCCCAAGCAAAAATGGAAATACAAGCAGTCACATGACCCACCACGGCCACAGCTCAGGCATCACAACGTTTATATTATTATTTTCCCAGACAGCTGGGGCTCGCACCACGTGTGCACGCCTCCGCGTGTGCACGCCCACTCACCCGGTGCGTGTTGTTGATGACGATGGGGTCTGGGTTGCCGTAGTTGGGGGGGTTTGCGTAGGGGTCGTAGCCGAGCCGAGCCAGCATGGGGGCGATCTGGGCCATGTCCCTCACCACGTCCCCGGGAATGTGCCCGGTCCACTTGGACAGGGCTTCCAGGTTCACGGGCTTGATGACCTGGTCGGTGGATCGCTCGATCCTGCGGAGAGAGGACAGGCTGCAGGGCCGGGCAGACCTGGGTACCACCTGGGGGCCCCCTGCTCAGTCACTCGGGGGCAGTGGGGAGACTGGAGGGACCTGGGCCCCATCGACTGTGAGTCCGCGGATGGGTCCCAGGCTGGTCACGCCCCTCTGTGCGGTGGGGTACAGCACGCGATGGGAGGAAGGAAGGACCAGGCAGAGAACACTGTGGGGCCTAACTTCTGCTTCCTTGATGCCTCTGACTTAACTTTTGTTTCTGCGGCTGAGACGGACAGTCTGTTCTCGGGAAAGAATTACCAAACACGAGCGGTGAGGCTGAGTCCCTGTGGCCGCCACTCCCAGGCCCTCGGCGCCCTGCAGGGACCCCGTCCTCCCGACCCTTTTTCTGAGCCTTAAATAATGGAGTCGCTAAGAGCTGACTCAGGAGCCAGACTGTCTGGGTTCAAATGCCAGCTGTACCCACAGCAGCTGTGCGGCCTGGGAGGGTTACTGCCCCTCTCGGAGCCTGTTTCCTCAGCTATAAACTCGAATGCTGACAGCACCCACCTCCTGGGCTGCTCTGAGGGGTCAGTGAGTGAATACAAGTGAGTTAATACGGAGCGACGGCTCGCTCTCCTCCTCCACTGCTCGGTGCTCTGGGGCTCAGGAGGGGGCGGCCTCCCGCAGGAGGAAGGCAGAAGCAGGGGCAGGAGGAAGGCAGAAGCAGGGGCAGGAGGAAGGCAGAAGCAGGGGCAGGAGGAAGGCAGAAGCAGGGGCAGGAGGAAGGCAGAAGCAGGGGCAGGAGGAAGGCAGAAGCAGGGGCAGGATGAGGGTCCTGGACTTGGGGGGCTCGAGAGCACAGTCTCTGGAGGCCAAGAGGCCCGGGCTCCAGTCCCAGAGCCACACTCTGCTCCCGAGATCCAGTTTCCTCATCTGTAAAAGGAGGGGAGCGCAGTTCCGATGCCTTGAGGTCGCTATGGCGATTAAAGGGGTAAGGTTTGTCAGGGGCTTAACTCAGGGCTTGCCAGAGAGCAGGCAGTTACTAAATGGTAGTGAAGGTGGGAGGACGAGTATCCAGTAAAAGCACATCAGCACTAAGAAGGAGAAGAGGAAGAGTAGCTCCTGGCCGGGCGGCGTGGCTCGGTGGTTGAGCGTCGACCTATGAACCAGGAGGTCACGGTTCGATTCCCGGTCGGGGCACATGCCTGCGTTGTGGGCTCCATCCCCAGTGTGGGACGTGCAGGAGGCAGCCGATCCATGATTCTCTCTCATCACTGATGTTTCTCTCTCTCCTCCTCTCCCTTCCTCTCAGAAGTCAATAAAAATATATTTTAAATAATAACAGAGTAGCCGCTAACACGTTTACCCTATTTGACACTCACAGGTACTATCTAGAAGGCAGACAGATTATAGTCCCATGTGACAGATGAGGAAATGGAAGCACAGAGAGGCTGAGTCCCTTGCTCAAGGCCACACAGCTAGAAAGCGGTGGAGCTGGGACTCAAACCCAGACGGCCTGGCTCCAGAACCGGCGTTCGTCACCTTCGCCCACTGCGGCCTGGCTGTGAGGCATGTTCGAAAGGTCGCCGATTCTGTCAGGAAAGAGGAGAGAGACTGCCCCCCTTTTTTGGGTAACGCAACTGCGCCTCAGAGAGGCACGGTGACTTGCCCGAGGCCACGCAGCTCGGGGACGCGGAGCCCATCTTTCCTCCACGTGCCTCCGACCCCAGGACCGGGCCCGGGGTGGGCTGTCGGGGGCCACTCACTTGGACAGGGAGACGCCGCCGGGCTTGCCGATGAGGTCCTCGTGGTGCAGGACGGAGTCGCTCCAGGCGATGCCCAGGAAGTCCAGGATGAGCTGGAGGGAGCGCCGGGGGTGCAGCACCAGCTGCTCGTAGTACACGGGCAGGCACTTGTCGCGGCCCACCTCCAGGCACTGCGCGTACATCACCTCGATGGCCTTGTTCCACTTGGTGAGGCAGTCGCGGTAGCTGCTGAGGTCGAAGCCGGCGATGGTGACCTTGCGCGTGATCATGGAGTGCACGGAGGCGCGGCCGTCGCGCACCATCAGCAGGAACTTGGAGTTGGGGAAGAGGCGCGACAGGTAGACGGAGGACTTGAGGGTGAAGGGGTCCTTGTTGCAGAGCACGCGGGCCGGCTCGCCGTGCTTGGCGATCACCTCCAGGATGAAGGCCTGCATGGCGGCGTCCAGGACCTCGTCCGTCACGCCCGCCTCGTCCAGCCGCTGCTTCTCCCGGCTCGACTTGGACCAGGCCTGGCGCATGGCCAGCACGCGGGGGATGATGCGGGTCTCCTCGCCGCAGCGCACCTCGGGGTGGGCGTCCAGCATGGCGCGCATCAGCGTGGTGCCGCTGCGGGGCACGCCGCCCACGAAGATGAGCGGCATGGCCTTGCCGTAGCGGTACTCCACGTGGTCCGTGCCCACCATCACCAGGTCCTCGTGCTCCGGCCGCATGGCGGGCCAGCGGCTCTGCGGGCCCTTCAGCACCGCCCGGCACTCCAGCACCTGCTGCCCCAGCTGGAAGGCCAGGAGCAGGCCCAGGGCGCAGCCGGCCGCCAGCAGCGCCCTCCGCACCGACAGGCGCATGCTGGGCCTGGGGTGCGGGGCCTGCTTCAGTGGTAGGTCCGCCAGAGGCCTGCTGGGCTCACATCTGGGGAGAGAGGGGGACCGTGGTCAGCGAGGCCTGGCACACAGGAAGCACTGAGCAGTTTCTACCATAATAACTGGTTTTCCATTTATTCTAACATTAAATGAGCAACTATTATGTGCCAGGAATTGGGTTTGCATAGACACACACCTGGGAGGGGGTGATGGGTTTTACTGAGCAGGTGAGGGCAGGCTTCCTGCAGGAGGAGGCAGCCCTCGGCGGAGTCTGCACAGCCAGGCAGGGAAGAGAGAAGAGTGTTCCTGGCAGAGGGAACAGCCAGTGCAAAGTTACAGGCAGGAGAGAAGCCATGTGCCTGGGAGCTGCCGGCAGCGTGGGGAGCGGAGCAGGGTGTGGAGGGAAGGGAATGGGGAGACGGCATTCCTCTTTGAACATCAGGTCCAGCCAAAACCACCACAGGACCGCCTGCAGCTGGACCAATCCAGCCGCAGGGCCCGCTCGGCCTGGGGCCCTTCAGTCCACAGCGAGTGGAAAATGCACCCCCGGGCCCAGGGTCGAAGCTGATGAAAGGCCGAGGCATTTCCTGGCCTCGCGGCTTTGGGAGAGTCACTTCCTCCATCTGAGCCGCAGTTTCCTTCCCTGCAAAGGGCTGGGGCCCCTGACCTCGAAGGGGCTGGGAGGTTCCAGAAGCGACTGACAAAGCAAAGCTGAGTCTCCTCCCGGGGCCACTGGGCTCTGAGCTGCAGAAAGCAGCTGGGGAACCCTCTCCAGAAACGTGCTGCTGACAATCCTGGGGTTCCTGGGTGCCCTGAATTCCGGGTCTGGCTACTTCCAGGGGGCAGAAGGGTGGCTGGGCCGGACATAAAGCCACTCGGCAGTCCGCCCATGATGATTACTTCGGTGTCAGTGCCCCTGGGGAACTGTCAGTCACGTGTTAGCTTGATTAGCATAACCACCCTTTCCTCCTGACAGTGGGGAGGAGAGAATGGAGCTTTGAGGGAACAGATGGCAATTGGGGGGGGGGGGTGAGAAGAGAGGGAGAAAAGGGGGTAACCTGGGAAGGTTCTCTCCAGAAAGGAAAGGTTAGTGTGCAAGGTCCTGTGTGTGTACAGCCATCCGCTTGTCCTGGGGTATACGTGCCAAGACCCCCAGTGGGTAACTGAACCCGCGGATATACTATGCTTTTCCTATAATACAAACCTGTGATAAAGTTTAAGTGACTTGTGCGCTTTGGGGCCATTAAGTAAAATGACACAAGCACCGTGACACCTGACAGTCGCTCTCTGATGACCAACATGGCTACCGCGGGCGGGAGCGTGCCCAGCGTGATGCTGGACAAACGGATTCACACCCCAAACGGATGATTGCATCACGCTTCTCAGGATGGCCCACGGTTGAAAACTTATCAACTGTTTATTTCTGGAACTTTCCATGGAATATATTCGGACTGGAGTTGACTGCACGTGAATGAAATCATGAAAGGTAAAACCGCGGGTTGGGGGGGACTCCTGTCCTTTCCAGCTGGTCGGGGGGTTAGAAGGGATCTGGATGCTAAAGGCCAGGGGCGACCCTGGGAGAGGGACAGCGAGAATGAGAGGAATGTTAGCCACTCCCCGCTTGGCTGAATACTGACCGTTCATGGGCAGCAGCACTTTGAGACAAGCCCGCGCTTCGTGTTTTCACGCTGACTGAGCAGGTGCTGCGCCAAAGCTTTTCCCACCCTCATCCAACAGGATCCCCTCCAGCCTCTGGGGTGGGAATGCCTCACCCCAGGCGCAGCGAGAGGCAACCTGCCCCAGGGCCGGGGCCAGAGGAGCAGGCGCTGAGCCGATCCCTGACCTTGGCCAGGCCCCAGCAAGAGGCCACCTCTGCTACCAGAGAAACAGCTCAACGCAGGCAGGAGCAGAGGACAGCAAAGACCCGGAGGGGGGCTCCGGAAGCAAAAGCGGGGCGACTTGGCAGCCGGCCACCCACGAAGCCAGAAGCCAAGGCAGCTTCCTGGGCACCCAGAGCCCCTCCAGGAGGGGCCGGTGGGTGCAGCCCAGGAACCGGGCCTGTCCCCCAGCCACCAGACCCATCAAGGGAGGTGCCGGGCGGCCTGGCAGTGAGGAGGGCAGCGAGGAGGGTGGGGAAGAGCTCAGACTCGGAGCCCTACAGCTCGGGGTTCAAATCCTGCTTCTGCCGCTTGCCAGGCGGTGACCGGACAAGGGACTTCATTCTGAACTCCCGTTTCCTCCTCCAAAAGTAAAAGAGATAATGACAGCCTTCCTCCGGGAGCTCTTATGAGGCAGGAACAGCGTGGGTGCCGGGAGCACCAGCCTGGGACAAAGGGACACGGGCTGTGGAGCTGGCACCGCCCGGGGCTTTGCCGAGCCCCCAGAATGGAGGCTGGGGTGTGGGTGACTGCACCTAGGCTGCTCGAGAGAGCTAGGACTCGAGGACGGGAGCTGCGCCACCTCCCTGGG